TACTACAATTTTCATGTCATCACCTCACTTAAGATTTGGTTTCCCATCTTATCTTCTTAGAATATTAGAAGGGCACAATAAGGGACAACAGTGATGAGAGAGAAAGACAATGCATATATTCCTCCAAACCAGAAAATAAATACAACATGTTTTCAGAATTTTCTCTATAAAGTATGTTCCACAGCGAGGTAGAAGATTGCATTATTACATTATCTAGCTAATTATTCTGCATTTAACCATGCTTTTAGCCATAGCACACATCCCAATTCCTTGTTCTAAACCAAAATTCACCTTGTAGCCTTACAATACATGTAATGGATAATGTCAATGTCAACTTGGTCAGAAAATGTGAGGAAATTTGGCCCTAAAATGAAAAGCATCTTTAAACATTTGCAATTTTTCAAATCAAGTTTGTGGTATTTTGATGTGCCTTCTAAGGACTTCTGACCCTTGAAGTTCTTTTCCTTCTCATTTCTACTAGACAAGCTAGTACCATATTATGAGCTGAAGGGAAGGCAATTTGTTTCCTGCTAGAAGCACTGTCATTCTGTTTCCACTGGGAAAGACCCACACATGCTGCATGATTACAGCTTAGAAACCCAGTCTAAACTAAAAGCTTTTAATGTAACATAAGTAATTTTTAAAATAGTATTGGCCTATATGTTGCTAAAGCAAGTAAGATACTCTAAATACTTTTTTCTAAAGCTTCTCTGGGAACATTTTTCTAAGAAAGGGATTGCAGGAAAGTTACAGGATGGATTGAGGTACTGCTGGAAAATTTGCAGTTGCTTCTGAAATGTCTCACTGTATGTAAAAGAGAGGTAGTAGAGCCAGGCTCAAATCAACTTTAGGCAAGAATGGCTGATAGGATGTTATTGTGAGGGCTGCAAACCAATTACTGCATGATGGACTAAAACCAGGTAATGGTGGATACTGATAAGTGACTTGCCGTGCAGCTCAGGAAACTGATTTGTTCTTCTAGCTTGCTTATGTTGTTTGGAGAGTTTGAAGTGAAACCTAATGATTCTGTCTGCTAACCAAATGAATCATTCAATACTGGACTCTGCTATTTGGACAGAGAGTGAGCAGCAAAAAATAAAAATTGCTAAGTTCTGAAGGCTCTGCACTGAGCAGAACAAACTTCAGAAAACATGGCAAGTTCTCTGGAAATATAGACATGTTTTTGACAGCCAAGGCTAAAGCCTGGTCTGTCAGTTTTCTGGAGGAAAGAATATAAGTTATTTGGGAGTAGAACTTTATCTGGGAAACAACATAATAATGACAGGGGAATCAAACATAATTATGCCTCATAGCAAATAATAGTATTCAAACAGGGTTTGCATGGACAGGTTTTGGTAGTGGAG